CCCCTCCCCCTCCCTGTGTCCTTCTTACTCCCTCCTCCCCCTCCATGTGTCCTTCTTACTCCCTCCTCCCCCTCCCTGTGTCCTTCTTACTCCTCTCCCTCCGTCCCTATGTTCTTCTTACCTCCCCTTCTCTGGTTGTAGCGTGGCCGAGCTCCTCTTCCTCCTGGCTGTCAGTCCGGCCAGGCACCGCGCAGTACAGGAGATTCAGTTTTCTGTTCCCAGCTGGACTGAAAGGAAGTGAGCACTCAATGTACTGACAGAAGGGAGAGGAGCTCGGCCACGCTACAGCCAGAGAAGGGGAGGTGATGACGAGGAGTGCTGCAGCCGCCTGAGGCTCTCTATAGAGCGTTCAGGCGGCTGCAGCCTTTTAGGAAGCACCGGCTCTGCTTGGGGCCCCGGGCCAGCTCGGGGCCCCAAGCAGTTGCTTGGTTTGCCTGCCCGCTAGCGACGGGCCTGTATGTAGGGGTATATTTGAATGCAGTGTCAGTATGTGTGGTTGCAGGGGTTTATTTGAGGGCTCTGATGGTGTTTGAATGTAGGTGGTAGATTTTATGTATATTTGATTAAATGTTATTGTTAGCGTGAGATTGCAAGGACCATATATATATTTTTTAAATTCTTTATTTTTGTAGTGCATAAGCTTAGTACAATCGCTTGTGAGATACCCCAAAGGCAATCCTCCAGCGCATTATAAAACATTTAAACATAGAGGTACAGGGTTGATCTTGCACATTTTTCTAAGGTTGAGTTATGCGGTATACGGTATCGATTGTCATTACTTAAGCATATTCATAACATAAAATAAAATAACTTTGCTTAACTTTCTGCTCATGGAATAAAATTAAGATGCTGTGTCTAGTGTAATGGTGACTATACCAGCAAACTAGTGTAGTTGATTCAGTTTTGTGAGTCGCCTAATAGAATCATGTTTTTAATAAGCTGGATTAGGATGCTATGGAGCGAATGTTAGACTAAACAATGAAATTGTTAGGATAATAAAGTAAGGTGGCCAATGCTTAATGGTGCTAGGATAGCTTTGCCACGGTAGTTGAAGTGTGGCCTTATGATATGCAATGTAACAGTAGCTGGGTCGTGTGTGACGTGTCTACAGGTTGTGCTATTTTCGTGTAGGCTATGATGCAATAAAAAAAACAAGTAACTTTGCTATGTCTTGCCTACAGTGTAGTGTTACATTACTACGTTGTCTAAACATAATTGCGTGCTGTTTTATTGATGGGTAACTAGCCATCAAGTCTGCGATGGCATGGGGGTATAGTCCACCTTTGACCCTATGTAGCCGTCTGAGTCCGGGTATTCTGCTGTTGCAAGATTTTGGAACAGTTCAGGCCAGAAATACCTGTGAGGCAACGTGGTAGGCGCTTCAGCCTATACCCCCCATTGGTAAGTCCCATGTGCTGTACTTATTAGTCCCTTCAACTGCTCCGGTAGTTCCCCCTGTGTTGTGCACCCGTGTGGCCGCTTGCGATGTCGCATCAACTGGGGTGATGCGCTTCCTCTGCCTGTCTCGTCCCCCGGGACCTAGCCTCTTTGCGCCTCGATCAGCGTCGCGGCGGACTTTGTGGGTGGCAGTGTGCAGGTTGGTGTGTTGCTTATAATTTTTTGCTGGGACCGCTGAGTGAGGGGTAGGTCGGGTCTTCTTCTGTGATGCAGAATTGTGGGTTTCAGCATTCAAGGGGCCCAGCGCCGTTTCCTGCCTTTTTGAGCTTCGGCTTCAATTCAGTTTGGAAGCCTCCCTGGAGTTGTGAGGGGAATTCCATTGCAGGGTGCGCCGGGTGGTCGGGCGGATCCACGCTGCCACCTCTGTCATCGCCAGCTGGTAGGGTTGTCTCCGAGCGTTAAGCTTTGCCCAGAGATGAGAGCGTAGCAGGTCTATGAAGTCCCTTGTGTGCTTGGGTGGTGCGATGTGTGGGTGGTTGGTCTTAGGCCTCGCCGCCATCTTGGCCGGGCCTTGTGAGTTTCGCTTTGTTGGCGATTTTGTTGCTTGTTCAGGTGTGAGTATCGGGGTAATCGTCCCCAGCGAGGACCGGGATGTCCCCCACCGGTCCATAGAGGGGGGGCAATAGGGCTGCGATGGGCTGTTGCGTAGGAGCGTGTCCCGTGCCGGCAAGTCGGCCATCTCCCCGGGCCTCAGGTTCTGCACTAGGTTAGGCCACACGGTCAGTTGAAGTTTTTCCTCGGTGCATCCGTGCCGGGTGTGTATCGTTGTATGCAGGATGCTGTTCTGCGCCTGCTTCCGGTCACCGTTTGCTGCTTGTGCCATTATGACAGTCGGTAGCATCGCTTTTTGGCCCGGTGTTGCAGGAGCTCTTAAAATGTGCGACTGGCCATCTTAGCTTTTAGGCCCCGCCGCCCCCTGCAAGGACCATATTTAAGTAAACATCAGTGTGTGAATGCAAAAGATACATTTTAATGGAGTTTCAGTGCATGAATACAGAAAGTATATCTGAATGGAATATCAATGTGTTGATGCAAGGGGTGTATTTAACCCCTTAAGGACACATGACATGTGTGACATGTCATGATTCCCTTTTATTCCAGAAGTTTGGTCCTTAAGGGGTTAAGTGTACTTTCAGTATATGTGGACAAAGAGGTGTATATACATTGAATAGGCATGTTTGAGTGGAGTGTCAGTGTACGATAACACGTGAGTGTATTTGCTTAGAACATTCGTGTGTATGAATGAATGCAGTGGTGTATGGCTAGCAAAATCGGGTTTGTAATAAAAAGTGTGTAAAATCAAATGCAAAATTAACAATTATTTAATATATATGGTGTTTGCAGGGTTAGTGCTCACCTCTATATATTAACAAAAAAAATATTAACTATATATTAACAAAAAAAAAACATTTTCTGACTGAGGCAAAAATGATATATTTTCCTCTCAAGAAGGGTTCTGGATTTTCTCTGATAAAGTGACACTTAATAATCTCTATAATTAGATAAAATGAAGACAACAAACATTCTGCTGGAATCTATAACTTGTTTCTACAAAGAACCCTATTTAAAACTGCAATACGATCACTTTTTTTCTATTGCACCAGTATACTGCACGAAACTGTATAATACACTAATTAAAATTTTCATTCTTCAGGATCCAAAGCAATAGAGCCTGAATAGTTTCATCACTTTATGTTATGTTGAGGAGTGTTCAACACTTCCTATTTCATCAATAATTGCACCTCTGCCACTGTGAAGCATGTGCATACATAACAATAGAAAAAGATTGGAAGCATATCTGTAAATCTGAAGAGAGACAATACATAAATATAAAACATATAACTCGGGGTGAGCACTAACTCTGCAAACATCTACAACTCATGACAGCAAAGTCTTAACCCAGTGTACACTGGGAATCTGGTTGCAAAAGTGGAATAATCTTTCATGTTCATTTTGAGTTCTCTTTTCAGGTTGATTTAAATGCCCAGTTATGTAAATTATTTCTGACTCTCTCAAAATGTAAAGCTCTGCAGAAAAAGTTGGTGTTATTTAAATACTAGTAATTAAAGGAAATCTAAAGTGTTAGAAATGCAGGGTTGTATTTCTAACACTTTAGTGCCCTCTGGTCCCTCCTCCTCACCCTTACATAAACGGTTAAAAACTTTATTTACTCACCCGATTCCAGTCCGATGTCCCTTAGCACTGGGTCGGCACCCCGCCTCCTCCGACATAATAAGAGGCAAAACCTAATGCACATGCGTGGTGTGTGTGTGCGCATTAGACCTTCTCTATTGGAAAGCAGTGAACCCGTTCTTTCCCATAGGGATTTCACTGATGTTGGATTTCTTCATGCAGAGGCAGTCTTAGTATTGCAGTGTAAACATTGCAGTTTCTTAAAAACGGCAATGTTTTACACTGCAGGAATAAGGGGGACAGGGACACTGCACCCAGATCACTTCAATGAGCTGATGTAGTCTTGGTGCCTATAGTGTCCCTTTAATAATAATAATGCCAACTTCTCATTAATACTGTTATAAGGGACCAAGGCAGATTGAATGTAATGTATATCTCACGGATTTGCCACATCCATTGCATGAAAATGTTCATGATGATATCTGGATTACTGTACTCATTTCAGGCCTTCCCCTCCCCTTCCTTAAAAGAGATCTGGTTCACCTTCAGCTGTCCCTTAATCTGTATATTCTATACATTTTGGTCTTTACTGGAGCTGAGAAATGTGGGTGTGCCCACAATTCCCTTTTTGTTTTCAAAAACTTAAGTCAGCAACAGACTCCTTCATATGAATGGGTAGGAGACATATGGTGTCCCATCATATCTGATGTCATCTAAAAGTATATGGGAGGGCTGGGCCTGCCATGCCCGATGTAAAAACATTATGATTGCACAACTAGCCCATATTCAGGCCAGGTATGTTTCCATAGGATGTAAGCACTGGGTGGGTTTGGAATCCAACATGATGTCACCAGTTCCACAGGTTTTCTGTGACACTCTGACCATCAAATCCTTGATTTTGTAGGACAAGTTAAGGGGAAGTAATCTTCTCTCATTCCTTTGTTCCATTGCCAATGTCCCCATCACTTTGATATAGGAACCATCTTATTTAGAGTCTAGAGACTTTGCTAGACTAGATTAGAGATAGTGAGGTACCACAATCCTATGGTGGGATACAACATGGTCTCCTTTGACTCCCTGGCATTTAGGAGTCTATTACTCTATTACGTACAAATTCAGAGCATTGAACAGCTAAGTTTTCACATGAAACACATTAAATCCCACTTCTTTACAAGGAACTCTAATCCCCCCATAAAGGAATGGGGTAGGCTATCCAAAGCAGTGGAAGATAGATCTTATGGGAGATGCTGGGACCGAGTAGGCCACAGCTAAGGCATCCAAATGCACCTACCTACCTACTGCAACAGAC